TCACCAGATCTGTGGACTCTAAGCCTGTGGGACAGCCATCACCAGATCCGTGGACTCTAAGCCTATGAGACAACTATCTCCAGGTCCCTCTCTTTTCCTGGAGAACTACTTTTCCTCTCTTGGTGCGCTTCTCTCTGAAACAGAGGTTCTCAACCTGTGGGGTGTGACCACTTTGAAGATTCAGTAACCTTTTCATAGTGGTTAGTTTTAAACTGCCAACTTGACACAATTTAGAATCACCAAGGGACTCTTAAGGAGGGAATGTTTACATCAGGTTGGCCTATGGACATGTCTATGGAGGAAATTATCTTGATTAAGTTACTTGAGGTGGGAAAATCTAACCACTATGGGTGGCACCACCCCCTAGTCTTAAGGTCTTGTGCTATTAAAAGTGAGGAAAGTGAGCTGAACACTAGCATGCACGTGTTCACTCTCTGCTCTTGACTGTGAATGCATTGACTGCGTCAAGTTCCTTTCAAGTGCCTGCCTCCCTAAATTGCACGAAATTATGGACTATGACCTCGAATTGTGAGCCCTTTCTCCTTGAGTTGCTTTTATAAGGTTTTTTAATCACAACAAAAAGGAAACCAGGACAGCCTTTTTCATGGAATGCACAGGGGCTGTTACAGAACTAGAATGAAATGCTACACATGGAAAGCGGGAATTGCTAGAACATTGTGGTTGCTGGCTGATGCTTCTGAAAGCCAAACTCATTAATAATTTTTTTTCAAAGCTAGAAGCAGGCGAAGTCAGCATCGCCCTAATAAATTTCCTTCTCACTGCGGGATCTACTAAAAGCATACCAGGTATGACCTCTGGGAGCTTCTTGGGCCGCCAAGGTCAATTTCTGCATACAGAAAAATTCATACCAATATTAGCTGAAAGGCCATTTGAGTGAATGCTACAATGAACACATCAGACACTCATTGTTCCTCTCTATTCAAAGATGGGAAAGTCAAGTTCCCAACTTCCAGACTCTCTTGTAGCTAGAAGGTCTATAGCCCATGAACACCAACAAAACACCTGCAAAGGCTCTCCGGATAGTCTTTGTTGTTTTTTTTTTTTTTTATCTGAAACAGTCAAGCTTTTCACAGTTTGATGATGACAATTTTATGATATAATAACTATAACATATTGTACTTTGAAATCTGATGAGTAAATTCCAAGTGTTCTCATCACACACACACACAAGAAGTATGTGAAGCCAGGTTTGGTGACACACACCTGTAGTCTCAGCATTCAAGCAGCTGAAGTAGGTGTGTTGTTGCAAACGCAAGGCTAGGATGCGTGGTATGTGTTCCAGGCTGGTCAGGGTTATCGAGCAAGATGCCATTCCAAAAACAAAACACTTCATATGTTAAATGATTGACTTGGCACTGTAAAATGAAAACAAATACCAAAATTTTATACTGTATGCTATATATAAATACACAAAATTTACTTATTCATTAAAGTAAGTAAAAAAAAAATAAAATTTAAAAAGTAGCCTCAGGCCAGGCAGTGAGTGGTGGACCACACCTTTAATCTCAGCAGAGGGAGACCGAGGCTGGCGGGTCTCTGGGAGTTCAAGGCCAGCTTAGTTTACAGAGTGAGTTCCAGGACAGGCTCCGAAGCTCCACAGAGAAAAGGCTCAGATAAGGTTAACAGATGTGAAAGCTGAAATGGCAACAGCCACTTTGAAACCTCCAGGGGAAACGCAAGAGAATCATAAAGTCCTCAATCTGGGATGACAGAGCCAATGCATCAGAGGCAGAAGCCACACCTTCCCTCAAATTCTTATGCTATTAAAAAAATAAAAATCTAAACCACTTACTTAGAATGTGCTCCTTTCAGCTGGATAAAAATCCTCGCTCATAAAAAGTAATAGCAAGAAAGTTCTGATTGGGATTTTAATCTTGAGAATCAAATTTAAAATTAGGAAAATGTGTTTATCTCCCATATTAAAACAACCTCAAGTTGTAATTAGGTTTCTGTGATTCCATGCTCTGACTCTCATGCCGGGAAGTGTTTTGGATAATTTGTTTGGGACAGAGCAGAATTCTGTCAGTTGAATGATATCCCAGTACGTTGTGAAGACTCACGGTCTCCTATTTAAGTTTCATAGCAAGTTCATTGAGATGAGCGTCACAGAACCCCCCAGCAGTCTTTTTCCTGGAAATTCTCTCCTTGCCCTCTGCAGGACTCCCAAGGTCAAACTCATGCATTGTTTTCTCTGCAGTCACCTGCTTCTGCCAGGGTTTTTCTGCCATCAGTGCCTTCCCTTGAGATTCAACCATTCTCCTGCCCTCGTGCCCATGCAACCTCACAACCTTTTCCCACTAGATTCCTCAACGCTCTTGGAAGCTTCCAGCGTCAGGCGACTAGGGATGGGCTGAGGGAGGCGGAGCAGACAGATACGACCAAGGGGCACGCACTGAAGATGAGGTGGCCTGGTGGCTAATGATGCAAGTGGGCAGGTCACTGGTGAACATTTCTGTGTGGATGACAGCCAAAGGCAGAGAACTGGTGCTGCTCTTCATATGGTCGAGAGAGCAAACGTGGACTCCATGCACTCTGGAAGACCAGATGCACATGCCTGTCCCTGGCAGGTGGGGTAAACTGAGAAATGTGTCTTCCCTCACTGGGTAAACTGAAAAATTCCTCTCTCTGACCAGGACCCACTTTTCTCAACTACAAAACAAGGCTTCTTGTCTTAGTCAGGGTTACTATTGCTGTGATGAGACACCATGACTACAACAGCTTGGGGAAGAAAGGGTTTATCTGGTTTACACTTCCATATCATTGTTCTTCATCTAAGGGAGTCAGGACAGGAGCTCAAACAGGGCAGGGACCTGGAGGCAGGGGCTGATGCAGAGGCCATGGAGGGGTGCTGCTTTCTGGCTTGTTCCTCGTGACTTGTGTCCAGCCCAATCTTTTAGAGGTATTTTCTCAATGCCTCTTCTCTGCAATTTCTCAATTTTCTCCTCTCTGCAGACTGTACCTTGTGTCAAGCTGTCAGAAAATTAGCTAGCACAGTCTTGTATACACTCTAAGACCCTTCTCAGTTGCTGAAATGTCTGCAACCCAGAAAATAGCTGCTAAGGGGGTGGAGATGCCAAGCCGAGCTCCTAGCCCTGGAAACCTCTGCGGGAGGTGGCAGAGAACTCTGGCCAAGGGCTGGGGAGATGGCTCAGTGGGTGAAGAGCTTGCCTTACAAGCTCAAGGTCTTGTGTTTGATTCCAGGAATCCACGCTCAAAGGCCAGGCATGGTGTCCTGTGTTTGTAATCTCAACTCTGGGGCAACAAAGATGAGCTGGTTCCCAGAGCTCGCTGGCTAGTCAGACTAGTCTTATCAAGGAGTTCAAGGCCAATGAGAGATCCTGTCTCAAAACACAGTGTTTCCTCTGGCCTCCACATGCACACATGTGCATGCACAGCGGCAATCATGCATGTACCTGCACGGAAACACAGTGCACAGAACATGCTTTAGGAAAGCAATAAAGAGAAGCTCCCTTGCTCAGTGTGACTCTGGCTGTATTTTCATTTTGAAGATGCCCTCCTCCATCTCAGCCACAGAGAAAGGAATCACATTTAATGAGAGACACGGCTGACAAATGAAATACATGAGAAATACCACATTGCCGAAGATTAACACATGCTCCGGTGTGTCCTCAATGAGAAATCCGCAACCCCTGTTTATTCTGGAATCTGTAAGACAGAGGGGGAGGGAGGCGCCCCTTCGTGCTGGAGGAGTGAACATTGTCACCACAAGCACAGGAGGAAATGCCAATCCTATTCTGAAGCAGACAGGAGCTGAGTGTCAGAGGGGAAAGACGCCCTCACTGCTCTCAGCGTCAGTAAACACCTGCTGTGTGTCTTTTTAATGGCTTCCCACTGTGTCCAAGACAAGCCCAGCAGGCCATCCGAAGTCCCCCCCACCCTTAGTCACACACAAGCCCTGCCTCTTACTTCACACTTGTTTGGCAACCCTAGGGTTTGAATTCAGGACCTCGCGATTGGTGAGCTACATCCCTAGGACCCCTCAGGCCTCATTACAGGTCTCAGACCCCTCAGACCTCAGAAGCTCCCACAGTCAGCACAGCTTCTCTGGAAAAGCATGAAATTGGGCCAGCCCTGACCCTCCACCCCACGTCACCAGTGTGTCCTTGGCCACTCTTCGCACTTTTTTTTTAAATTTTAGCAGCATTTACTAAGTGTTATAAAGCACCACATACAATACAGATTCTCAAAAAAAAAAAATTCTCTGCAGTCATGTAAGGTGACACTCAAACTAACTCTGAGAAAACCAAAGCCCAGAACGGTTAAGCAAGAACCCCAAGGACACACAGCTAGAGAAGGATCGAGACAGAATGCAGACTCGAGTGTGCACAAAGGAAAAAGGGCTGGCTCTCGGATTCCCAGCCTCTCCTGCCTGCCTCCTCTTGACATGCTGCAGCCAGAGTTGTCCCCCACCCCCACCCTGGTTTCATCATCTAATGGGTGTTGAGCAGCATGCTGGGTGCATCTGGGACACGGTGGGAAGCCACTGGAGTGGTATAAGCACCAGATGCTTATGGACATGGGGAGTCACAACTGCGAAGCCCTTGATCCTCCACAAAAATGTCCCGATCTCCTTGTGACTCAAGAGGGCCATTCCCTCCAGCCCGCCCTCTCCACAATTCAGCGAGCTCTGGTGGCCGCACTGTGTTCACGCTGACTCCTCAGCCTCGGCATTGGCTCTGGGACTTCTGCTGGCATCGCCCCAGGAACTGCTGGGCCCAAGGTTATCAGTGACCTTGTCGGGAGCTCAGGTCTGTGACAGCTGCGCAATGCACCCTTCTCCTTGGCTTGATTAATTGGCAGGGCAGCCAGGTACTGCCTGGGGGCTCTGGTCTGCACCAGGCTCTAAACCTCCCCGCAAATGTAAGGAGAGGAAGAAACTTGCTTATGGGAGCCCCTCCTAGCTGGAAAGCAAGCTTTGATAATCTTGGGGGGGACTGTGGAACCCTCACTCAATCAAGAGGGAGCCTGGGTAACAACAAATGGCTTCCTAGGAGGCTGGGTCTCTTCCACTGCAGGACTTCTGTTGAGTGAACCTTGGGAACCGGGTTTAGAACTCTTGTTAATTCTTTCATTCACACAAGGCAGACTGATGCACCCATAGCACTCACATCTCCCTGGAATGGGCACCCATCGAGTATCAGGGGATCAGAGGACACTAGCATTACAGGAGCAAAGACATTAGCCTGCCCCGCGCACCAGTTCAGCCCTTCCCCACATGGCAGAGCAACTTGCTTCTTCCCATCCCCAAGGCTTGGTCTCCCTTCTGGGTTCTGGTTCCCCACTGATTTTGCATTTCTACTTAGTCTTAGTCAGTGTTCTATTGCTGTGAAGAGACACATGACCATGGTAACTCTTACAAAAGAAAGCATTTAGTCAGGGCTTGCTTACAGTTTCAGAGGCTTAGTCCATTATCATCATAACAGAAAGGCTGATGGCAGGCAGACATGGTGCTGGGGCAGCAGCTGGGAGCTACAAATTGAGCTGCAAGCTGGGGTGGGGGGTGAGAGAAAGACTAGACCTGGCATGGGCTTTTGAAACCCCCAAGCCCACCTGCGTGACATACTTCCTCCAACAAGACCACGCCTCCTAATCCTCCTAATCGGTTCAAACTGTCCCACTCCCTGATGACTACATATTCAAATATATGAACCTACAGGGGAGCACCATTCTTATTCCACCCCACATCATACTCCTCTCTCCTTCTTCCTTCGCCTCTTCATTTTTCTCCTCCTCCTCTCTTTCTTCTCCCCTCCTCTTTCTCTTCTTCCTCTTCTGTCTCCTCTTCTTCATTTTTCTTCTTCCTCCTCCTCCTCTCTTCTTCTGCCCCTTTCCCTGCTCCATCTCTTCTCTACCCTTCTGCTTCCCTGGCTCCTTGTTCACTTCCCACTCTTTCAGTGAGGTCATTTCTCCAGGCTCCGACTCACATTCATCCTGCTAAAGCTTCTCCCAGTCTCCACCATCCATTCCAGGTTGTATCGAATCTCTGCAACAAAGTACCTTCAGCCTCAATAGCTACACCAACAAATCCTGGCATCCTCAACAGATGCAAGGAATGGGGCCTTCTTTGGGACTGCATACGATTCCAAGACTCTGCCTTTGGTTCTTGAATGCCCATGCCCCGACCCTTTTACCACTCCATTCCTGCCCCCACAAGACATGTCATGGAAATGAGGCAGACTATGCCAACTCACGTTCTACCTAAGCCCAGTCCATATTTCCAGCTTTCCTTCTGACTTGCTCTCCTCGTTCCACGAACAGTAGTGTCTCCTGTTCCTAACCTCCGCCTCCAAGTCACCCTTGATCCTTCGAGTCAGTAAAGCCCCTCATTGATATCCTTCATTACACTCTGGGTGTGTACCAGGCTAATTCAGAAACACTATTCCTACCTGAATTACAAGTAGCACTAGATGGTAGATATATTCACCCCCATTTGGCATGGGAGTGGCTGCTTTGGTTGTGAGCAACAGCTGGATTCGAACATGGCATCCTCACAAGGGATCAAATGCACAAAAACCTGAGCCTGTGGGAGACGCTTCCCAACCAGACCACACCAGCACAAGTGCTTTTTAATGTGACTGCATGTGTGTGTTTGTGTGGTTGTTTACATGTGTGTGCTCACATTCTGGGTCATTTTCCCATGCCTTTGCACACAGTTGTTTATTGTGAAAATTCTTATTTATTGATCACCATCCTTTAGATTCTAAGCCCCACTTGGGCTTCAGAGAATAATAAGGCCTTGAGGCAAAGCAGAGCTCCCTCTAGGGCCCATAGAAAGAATTACAAAACACACTTACCACTTTCCCATTGATAAATCACAGGTGATTTCCTTTGTAAAGAAGGCAAGTGAACGACAGGATGTTTCACATTAGGCCACTCTCCTGGGCTCCACATAGTTCCTTGGCTTTGCTGGGGGAAAAAAAAAAACTCCATAGGATACAGACTCCAGAGACAGCCCATGCGTGCTCCCAGCATGCACCTGGACCCTCACTTGCGGTCTTCATTATGACCGTCACAATTCTGCCGTCAATGAACCCCCTTCTAAGCCTCTCCTTCTGGCTCCCTGTGAGGAATGTAGGGACTTTTTCTTTCCCCATCTCTCCCATTGTATCCTCCCGTTGCCGTAACAGGAAGCTGGACTGGTCATGAGCTGTGGATATGGTGTCAGACTCACCTCCATCATGGCTACCTGTGTGACCCTGGATGAGCCACCCAACCTCTCAGAGCCTTGAATCAATCTTTGTCTGAAAAAGTGAAGCTTGCGTGCAGATGGACTGGAATCTGCACCTGCCTAGGATTTTGGCTGATTTGTGCTAACTGTACGTGAGAAGCCATTTTGAACAGATACTGACTCTCAGTAGAAATTGGACTAACCCCGTGGGAATGGTTCCTATCTGTTAGGAATGAACCTCTAGTCAAAGGTAGATTGGGCTGCCGTCGCACTAGCGTGGACAAGACTGCTCTAGGTTCAATAGCATCGTGTGCCGGTTTCTTCAGAATTGAAGCAGCCTTTCCAGGAGGGAACAGGATACTCGCGAGACTGGGAGCAGGGGGCATGGGCCAATGATAAAACACATTTCTGGAAAAGCTGAAGCCGGCAAGATTCTTCCCCAGCTCCATTGGAGCAGCAGACGCTGCTGGGGGAGGGGACTGATTGGTTGAGTTTCTGCCAGGAGATTCCTCAGACCTGCCGAGTCACCTGTCAATCATACAGATCTCAGGAGATGCGCTTTTCCCAAGTCCTCACCTGAACTGGGTTGGGCTTAGTGGAGATGCAGCTGCTCCTGAGTTGCTCCTGCTCCTGTGAGTAATCCCTCAGGCATACCTGTGCTAGAAACCCCAATAAAATCTCTCTATACCAAGTTGGACTTCAATACAGTCATTCATTACATTGGTCTTTTATGGATTCCCATTCCAGAACTGTGTGTTACCTCTCCCAGGAAAAGAGGCTCTGTTCCGTACAACCTTTGGCGACAGACTCGGCTCCCCCAGTATCTATTTCCTCGGCTAAGAGGAACCATAGAGACCCCTGCCTCTCTGGGAAGCTCAGGGATGGTGCCAAGTGAGCAGTCCATAAGCGGTTGCCATCAGCCATGTTGGCCTGCCCCTTCCGGCGCGGCATGTGAGCTCCCCTGCTGAATTTCAGCAGCCCTGTCCCTGCAACCTGGGTATTGCGCTCTCTTCACTGCCCTTTCACCCCGTATTAGGAGAGCTCTTGGGGTATCTACTCAGCTTTGTTTCTGCCAGCTGCTTCTGCACGCATCCCCTGTATCCCCAAAAGCTTAGTAAACTAAAGCAACAGCTGATGTTTGCTTTGCGGTCACACAGGAAGTTTGGTTGGCGCGCAGCAGGGAATGTCCCGCCTCCTTCCGTTCACTATGAGATGAGCTTCACAGAGACTGCCTGTGCGCTGGTACCAAGTTTGGGCCAGGAGTTCAGTAAAGCTGAGGGCTGAACGCTGGGTTTTCTTCCACATGGACCTTCCCTTGGGCTTCTTCACAGCATGGTGGCTGAATCTCATTGGGAACCCAGAGGAAATAACTGAACCCATCTTAGGGCACCACTTTCATACTATTGTACTGCTGAAACCTACGTGGGGAAGCCCCCAGACTCTTGGTAGGGGAGAGGACCGACCTCACATGCACTACATAAGGCTACAGGAGTGTGTGAAATATGCATTACATAAGGCTGTAGGAGTGTGTAAAGATGCACTACAATCGACTGCAGGAGTGTGTGTAAAGATTCACTACATAAGGCTGTAGGAGTGTGTAAAGATGCACTACAATCGACTGCAGGAGTGTGTAAAGATGCACTACATAAGGCTGCAGGAGCGTGTGTAAAGATGCACTACATAAGGCTGCAGGAGTGTGTAAAGATGCTGTAGCCCACAACTCTGTCACAGTCACCTTGCCATTAGGTTTGAAGCTCCAGCTCACTCCTGCAAAAGCCCCATCCATCTCTCTCTCTCCTTCTCTCTCCAAACCCTGCCCTCTCAGGAATCTCCAATCTCACAGAAGAGCTGCCCGGTTCCACATTCTGAAGTTGCCTGTGGCCCAGGACTCCCCCTAAAAGTGGACCATAGTTGGTCACAAACCCAGCCTGTGGCAGATACCTCATGACCCCTCACCTACAGGGTACATCAGCGCCCTGCCTTAGATCCGCCATGTGATTTTCTCCTGTCCCCTTCTCCTTCCTCCATCTCTGGGGGCTGGAGGGCTCACCTGAGGGTTGCTTTACTCAAAATAAACCTGGCCTTTTACTTGTTTAATTCAGCTTGATGTGGCTGGCTTACTGCGTTAGTGGAGAAACCTACTATCAGGGTATCGGAAACCTATTGCTTACCACTTCCCAGATTTCAAGGAGCTGCCTTCCACAGGCAGTTTTGATCACATCAGAGCTAAAAGGAGACAAGCTAGGCAGCACCTACCCCGCTGAGCCACATCAGTCTGATTCTTTCCCTGGGAAGTCTGGGTAGCCGCCATAGAAGATACCACAGGTACTGAGGTAAAGCTTAGCACTCCACTGAGGAAGAAAAACATGGAGACCCAGGAAGAGGACGTGGAATGAGCTCCATGAGATGGGTTGGTGCCAGGATTCACAACAAACTCCTGGTCCCAAGAGCTCAGGCCTTAAATCTGATAAAAATCCGAGGTCTGCAAGATGGTTTAATGGACAAAAGTGCTTGCTACCAAGTCTGATAACCTGAACTCTGTCACTCCATCCCAGATCCACCTGGCAGAAGGAGAGAACTGACCCCCCATTTGTGCCATGGCATGTGTGCATGTAATGGTCTGTCCTGTCCCTTTAAGAGACAAGCCCCGCCCACTCCCTCCCTCTTCCTTCTAGGCAAGTGGATCTTCCATTTCCAGCCTGAGCTCTCTCTTTTCCCTATTTCCCAAAGAGGTAGCTTCTCCTCTCCTCTCCCCTGTTTCTCTCTCTCTCTCTCTCTCTCTCTCTCTCTCTCTCTCTCCCTCTGCCTCTCTCTCCTCTTCCCCCTTCCCCCTTTTCCCTTTCCCCTCCATAACCCACTGAATAAACTATACGCAAACCCTCTTTCTGCATGGTGTGCCTATCCATCTCTGTCTCTCACCCTCTGCGGCTCCTCGTTGGACCCGGCTGCTCCTCGTGACCCCCCCCCCATTGTGCCCCTCAGGGAACTGCCGTGTTTTATCATTACAGGGCAACCCCTCCCTTATACAAAATGAGAATTGTTAAGAAATGTGATCATCGTTGTTCATGAATAAGATATGTGTGCTAGTTGTGATGTGAGTGGTCCCGGCTGCTGACTGAAGACCTTTCAACACAGAGGTTCTACCTGAAGCCGGTGATGCTGAGTCCACCCTTCCATGATAACTAATTGGCTAAGCATTAATCATCTGACCTAAACGCAGCCAATCTAGAGTCTTAGAACATAGAAATGAACTGAGCCCCTTAGCTTCTCTCTCTTCCCCACTCCTTCCTTCCCCTCCCTTTCCCCTCCCCCTCTCTGGAGCAGCCTAAAGAGTCTTGGGCAGATTGGAAGAGTGGAAACCAAGAGTTAAAGAGGCTGAAGGGAGCAGCGTAGGGAGCATAGAGCAATTAGCGACAAGAGGAGGGAAAGGAGATTCCGAGACCTGCTATTCCAAGATGTGGACTTTGATTGACACCTACTAGTGTCCTTTGCAAGTTGCCTCAATGCCTTAAATAGGTAACGGCCATTCACCTATTTTACAGATAAGGAAACTGAGGCCCAGAGATGTTAACCAACATGTCCAAGATGGCACAGCCACCATGGAGAGCTGAGCAGAAGCTGGAATGTGAGAAGTACCTACGCCCCATCCTTTCTGGTACCTCCAGAACTGCGATGAATTTTACCTTAGCAGCAACCCTGCACTTGACAGGCAACTTTGCTCTGGGATTCTGTCGTCCTGGTGGAACCTTTGATTCCGTCTCTCTGGAGCTGAGTTAATTGCCAAGACTGTGGGGAAACGGCACCACCCCCTCAGTTCACCCTGCAGGACCCCAATCCTTAACAAGGCAACTTTCTGATGAGAGTGTTAGCTGGCCTCCCCGACTAAACTTTCCTAGCGGGGGATTGGAGAGAGAGAAAAACTAAAGGCAGAGTAGAGAAGCAGGGTGGAGGGGGCGGTTTCTTGCCATTGATTTCTTCGCCAATGAGAAGTCTTTAAAGAAACACATTTCAGCTGCCTCCCTCGGGTGCCTGAGCTGTTCAGCTGAGGGAGAGGGAGAAAAAAAAAATCAAAGTCTGGATCAGATCAAGCTGTGATCTTTCATTCATCTGAAAAGCGTCCATCTTGGTAAACAGGAAATTAGAACTTCAAACAGAAGAAGTAGTGGGGGTTGATGTCGGAGTGACCTAGTCAAAACTGAGGCTGGAGAGCACCCACAGAGGCCGCCTTTCTCTGCCCCAGACAGAACCAGCTGTGTGTGAAGTCAAGAAGAGAATTTGGGACTGAACTGTCTGACTTTCTTCCACTTCCTGATGTCCTCCCCGCTCAGTCTTCCTGATGCCCCAGCACTGCTTCCTGCATTAGATGCCGACCCCGCGCCCCTTCCCGCCCCGCCCGCCCAGAAGTGACTCACTGATGACTCTACAGATGCTTTACTATAGAGGACCGAGGGCAGATGATAACTTGTAATTGTTGTTTTCTCCCACCATGTTCATCCCTGGACTCAAACTCAGGTCATCAGGTTGGCTACAAGCACCTTTACCAGCTGAGACATCTCTCCTGGCCCTGCAACAAAGCATCACTTTGAATAACAGCATCTAAACTGTAAATACCCCTGCCTCACCAACCTGGATGTATTGGAGATTTGGAAAAAGAGTTGTCAAACAATCCCAAGTCTTCAAGACACCAGGGCTCCAGGACGGAGGTGTGGTGACCCGTTTGCTAATTGGGGGACACAGTGGATGCTGCCCACCACTCCACTCAGCCTTTTCTGTGAGTACCATGGATCCAAACTCAGGTCTTCACACCTGTGCATCAAGGGCTGTCCTGACTGAGCCTCCCCCACCCAGCCCCCTCTTTATCGCTGCTGTGGCTTCACATAGCTGTTGTTTTCGGAAGCTCTGCCTTAGAAAGCTCCTGCCTGCCTGTCTCCAGCATCCTACAGCCCTAAATAATTCATCTACAGCAGCACAGTTGAGGACCCTTCCCAGCAGAACCACCTCTCCTCTCTAATCCTCTTTAAAGTCATTCCCAATCCATGCTCATCACTCACTACGTGGCATTGTATGGTTCCTCCCCTCCAAACCTCCATTTCTTCCCTGTGATTAGACTACTGATTCACTCTCAATGCCCTAAACTTCCTCCTTCTTTTTCCCTGGATGCCTTGCAGCCAGGAACAACCTTGTGGGTGCCATGTGACCACCTGTAGCCAATGATATGGACACAGCAGAAGCTGTGCCGTCCCTCACTAATACACTCTACTCCCCTAAATCAGGTTTTCTCTGTGTTCTCTTCCCTTTAGCTAAGAAATTACAAGTAGATGACCTGATTTTGAATCCATAAGCAAAAGTCGCTCCAAATACCCAAGCTCTGTCAGTCACATGGGAGAGAAATCGGTTTACCTTGGTAAACTGCTGGTCACTCGGGGTGGGAGCATCTTGGCAGGTTATTGGAAGTAACATGAGCATACAGGAGTTAAAATCTTCACCTCACATAGTTCCCAATATCCACTCATTCTCAGGACGAGCCCCCAAATGGTATGCCCAAATCTGCAAAGTCCCTGCAAAAGCCAACAAGGAAACCAAGTCCCATATGTAAAAGCAAAGAGTCTTTATTTTAATCAAGTTTGCAAACTCGGTCTCTTCGCCTGTCCAACGTATTGGAATAACCGGAGAGCCCCGAGCTCAATTAGAATTGGGTGTTTATAGTAGTAAAGGTGGGGGTGAGGGATTTCTGAGGTTTAGAACTCCTGATTGGCTGACATTTGTCTAGGGGTGTCCTGATGGATGTGTGCTGGCAGGTGGTCCTATCTGCAGCGGTTGGAATGCTAGGCATTTCCTTTGAGTGGTCTGTTCTGGGTAGTGCTAGGTAATCTCATTTTGTGGTTCTTTTTCTAACCAGGTATTGCCTCAGGGTAAATCGATGGCCGGGTTTTACTCTGGCAGGTGATAATGATTGGAAGTAAAGAACCTTTTTTGGGTGGCCTGTCCAGACTTAGCTTATCATGGCTGGCCCCCACAAGATTCATGTTCTCTTATTTTTGCTGACTCTCATCTAGAACTAGGAGTTTGAGATGCTGATCTTGGGTTCCTCAGATTAGCCTGTACACATGTCCGTGGGAAATTTTCTTGATGAATGATTGGTGTGGGACAACCCAGCCCACTGTAGGTGTTGCCATCCCTGGGCAGGTGGTCCTGGGGTGTACAGGAAACAGGGTGAATGAGCCATGGAGAGCAACCCAGTAAGCAGTGTTCCACCATGGCTTCTGCTTCAGTTCCTGCTTCCAAGTTCCTGCCTTGACTCCCCTTCATGTTGGACTATAAATCATAAAATGAAACGAACCCTCTCCCTCCTGTGGTGCTTTTGGACATGGTGTCTAGCACAGCAACAGAGACACGGACTGTATCTGATAATGCAGCTGAAACCTGCATGGTCATTTACTCATTTAAGGGTTTCTCGGTAGCCATAAACACAGTTCACGGCACTAAGGCACTAATGAATAAGAATAAGACTAGTAAGGAAGTCTTCCAAGACTAACACTCAGACTCTGAAGGGAATGGGCACGTCAGCCACTCACCGCCTCAGCCACGTCCATTGCTCTCTTGTTCTTAACAGGAGAACCAGTTTCTGTCTAGAACTGAAATGCAAGCTGCCCAAGATGGGCTGTCATTGACCTCGGTCGATCATGACTATGTTACTCTCTTTTCCCATCCTCTCTTGTAGCTGGGAATGGTCCCTGGTGCAGCCAGTGAATATGAGCAGAAGCCTCCTGACAGGAAACTCTTGGAGAAAGGTTTTCATATCCTGAAACAGGAGCACAGCAGCTGGTACCCATGCCTTACCCCCACCCCACCTGTCTTGAACATCTGTGAGATGACAGAGATTAAAGCTACTATTGCATAGCCAGGAGGTGGCAGACATCTTGACCCTGACATTTGAAAGCCATTCCCTGAACCAGCTCCAGGACCCAGGAAACCACCTGCCCTGGCTCCCTGATGTAAACCCCACAGATGAGTCTATCTTGCAGTCCCATGTATTTCCTAACTTCATGCATCCTTCCACAGAAAACTGGGGTAGAGCCACAGAATGAGTCTGGAGGCCATGTGGGCTTCTACTTGTATGTCTGAGCCATGAGGCTGGTAGAAAGGACAAGAATATAACAACATAGCCTCTTCCCAGCTTTGTAATTGTACCTGCGCCATCGTCTAACTCAGCTCTGAGGATAAGCTCCCCCATCGTGGATCTAGGGAGCATATTGATCAGCCAAAGGGCACAATTCACCTAATGACAGAGAGAATGCATGGTCCCTGCACTCAAATGGCAGCCTTGCTCAATTTGAGCCACCACTCCCCATAACTCGCAGGCTTTTCTCTTCCCGTCACTTCTGCTTTTCCACATAGCAATTCTGTCTCAAAGGTTTCCTGCACTTTTTCAACTCTGTAATCACCCAGCGGTTGGTAAGAACTATTAATATTGAGTCTCGTTTCTTTTTTCCCAATTGGAAGGCCATGGTACTCATTGAACACAAGCCCTCTATTTGTCTGGCAAAATGCACTCAGGTGTCTAATGCCCTTCAGAGCAAGGTGAGATGGAGTTTCAGGACCCTGGAGAGCGCCCCGTCCAGTTACTCAAGGTCAGCGTTTCCAACCCCTCTTCCAAGAGCCTGGGGACAGCTATGACTCTCCCGGCACATTAGCCAGAAGACAAACCAAAACCAATGCTTTGATTCAGAAAGCCATTCTGAAATGTGTCCATGTCTCTGCGCGTATGCGACATGCATGCAGGAGTCCATAGAATAGAATGTCAGATCCCACCAGAGCTGGACTTCTGGGTGTCTGAGTCACTCAGTGTAGATTCTAGGGATAAAATCCAGATCCTCTGGCAGAGCAGAGAGTGCTCTTAACCATGGAGGCTTCTCGTCAGCCAAGACAACCATTTCTTTTGCCTAAGATGTGGCAACCCTCTTCAAGGGAGCTTGGGAAATGATGTGTACACTAAGCGGGATTAAGACACTAAGTGCGTTCGTTCACTAAGTGCCTGATATGGAAATGCAAGACACTTTTCTGTGACTTTACAAAAGTAAAAGTAAAGGGGTAGTAAGCGACTACATTCCTGGACACTTGATAAATGTCAGTCCGCCTGCTACGACACAGAGAAATGTGTGCACATAGACAGAGTTCCCATCTCTCTGCAATTGCCCATCCACAATCCCCCAGGGATATGCTAGTGGATTTTGGTGCAGGGATCTAAAACATCCTTGAGTTCTGATTTCTAAAAAAACTGAATGTATCAAAGCGCGCGCATGCGCACGCACACACACACACACACACACACACACATATACTTGTCAGGGGGTGAGGTCCAGTGGTGAGGATGTGAAGGCCAGGTTCCCCAGTGGTTTCAGAATACATATTCAGTATACCAGAGTATGTAACCAATCCCCACCTGTGTGGACCTGAAGAAACAATGACCCTCAGGGCTTACATCGAGTGTGGGTTCAATACATCTCATTGTTTCTATTATCACCCAGCCCTTGCTGATGTGAGGACCGCAAGAGATAAGAGGTGTAAAGTGGTCCAGAGATGCACACACAGCATCTCCCAGGGCTTCCCTGACACTGCATCCTGCACTCTGGTTCTGAAGGAAGCATCAATCCTGGCGCATGTGAGATGACTCCAGGCCCACCCACCCTGAGTTGAGGGATTAGCAAAGCAGCGGAGTGCTGAGTCTGACCAGAACTCCCATCTGCCACACCCCAGGAAAGCAGCCCAGGTTGCTGGAACAACCATTGATGTCTGCCGGGACATCTGATCTCTCAGCTAAATTCAGATTGACTCTTTCCGAAAGTCACTTTCCAGGCTCGCTGAGCTGGCCAGC